ATATATATATATATATAAACCCAGGTAGAAGATAGTGGATTTAAATTCATTCCATCCCCCTCGTTCTCATCCTCGTTCTTCAACTTATGTCCTTACTGGTGCTTGTTAGCAAGAAGCATGCTCCAATATGATTGTATTGACTGGATTGTGTTTGTAATTAACAAGGGAAGCAGAGAAAGAAAGGTGATAGATCTGATCGACTTTAAGTAGTAAGGGCTCAACAAAATCGTGTCAAATTAGCTCAAATCTAGGGTTCTAGAGCACCCACTTATCGACGGAGGCAGAGATGGGTGGTTTTATTGGCTGGAATACGAAGAGAGGAAGAAGATGATGATGTTCGTAAGGAAGAAGACGGGTGCGTCCCCAACCACTTACAGAGACAAACTCCTCTGTAGACCTTCTTCATTTTCTTTCCTATTTCTTCTCCACTACTTCAGGTGAACATTTGACACCCCAAACATTGATCTGGGATTCGCATTCCACATTCTCATAGATTTCATGTTCCACCGGCGACAACTGGCTCTAAGAATTTCCGATTACTGTTCTTCCTCCCTACCCTTCACAACGAAGATGACTATGCAAGGGAGGTAAAACCCACGATTTCCTCGCATTACATACAGATAATCCAACATAATCTTTTTGGACCAAATCAAATTCGAAGGAATTAGAATTTGGGGATGAAGCGTAGGGTTTGGGTAGGTAATAAATCAAACAATCTTCAAGGTTGTTAATCTTGCATAAATGAGCCTCCAACCAACAATTTATCATTGATGTTCCTTGTATCAGATGTTATGAGTTCATGTGGTTGATGGGATAACCATAAAGAAGAAGTAGAAGATGAGTTTAGAGGATGAACACACACACAAACACACTTATTTCGAGTATGAACCCAATGTGAGATTTCCGATGAGAGATGGTGATCTACAGGTAACAACAGTGATGAGAGATGGCGCGGGAGGAAGAAGTAGACGACAGTCGTGTGGTGAGGGGGGAAGGAAGAATCGTCGATGATGATGGGTTATTCGAGGGTGAGATCATCGAAAATATTGAGTCTTTAGTGGTTTATTTGAGAGAGAGAGAGAGAGAGAGAGAGTTTTCTAAATTTTTTTAATTATAAAAATAGATAAAAATGAAAAAAAATGAAAAAGAAATACCTCAAGGGTATTTTAGTCTTTTCAGTTTTCCGAGGGACCAAAATTACAAGCAAACCAGCTCATAAGGACCACAGATCCAAAAAAGTTGATGTTTGGACTAAAACCCCAAAAAAATGCATACCATAGGGACCATTTTTGCAATTTTGTTTTAATTTAATGTAATTAGAGTGGGAAATTTAAAATTTAAAATTTAAAATGGAGAGAATTAATATGTTGACATTAATGCGGATTTCTAATATTGTGACACTTGTCAATAGGAGAATAAACTTATTTATTTATTAGAATATATATATATATA